TCCCTGATTGGGGGCAAGCACTGCCACCTCCTAGCCCAAAACCCTGCTTGGCACAGAGGTCCTGCGAGCCCCGCTTCCTCTGGATTCTGCGAGATTGGGTGCAGAGCTGCCTCCTGGTATTCGCAAGTGCCCGGGCCCAGACCGGATGGAGCCTGCCCCGGGCCAGGAGCGAATTCCTGGGTCCCAGTGGGTCCCGGTTGCTCCCTGTTTGGGGTGAGTGTTGCTTTTACCTTACCTGGGATGCTTCGTGAGTTCAAGCTCCTGGGAGTCCCTGTTTCTCTCGGTTTTCTGGGGTTGAGTACGGAGCTGCCGCCTGCGACCTACTCTATGCTGGGGCCCAAACCGGAGGTCCTCACCACTAATTTCTTAGCTCCAGCTAATGAGCATCAATTGTCCCATAGTCCCTTCTATTTTTCACTCTAGAGTTAGAGCCACCTGACCCAAGGCTGCGGTGTTCTGTTGCTTGCTGGGCTGGAACATGGTCCTTCTTATTCTTTTACCAGCTTTCTGTTTTCCAACTCCCTCTCTGTCTAAGCTTGGCTTTCCTGAAACTTGCTCTGTAGATTGACCTTGAATTCAGATATCTGCATGACTCTATCTCCTGCAATGCTGGGATTAAAGGTGTGTACTACCATGCCCAGAGTTAAGTGTTTTTTTTTTTTTTTTAAAACCTAGAACCTGCTTTGTTCCAGGCTACTCTTAAACTCAGAGATCTATTTGGCTTTGTTTTCTGAGATTAAAGGTGTGTACCACCATACCTGCATCTAAATTTAGCTCAGTAGAATCTTGCCCCAAAATCCCTCAATCTGTTATTTCTTAGAACACAGGATTCAGTTCCATTTCACTTCCTGGTGCACATTTAATAATTGAACCATGTATTTTATACTTTTCCTTTCTAAGTTTGCAATTCTTTTTCAAAAAAATCTCTTTCTTATGATTCAGTCAAGGTCATATGATGAAAGATTTCATTTAATCTACGGAGTAAAATGCAGTTGGCTCTGGGTTAAAAAATGACCTTGAACCTACAGTCTGTTTCTTTAGTGTATATCAGTACCCACTGGTTCAAGCATTATGTTGTAGGGATACTATTCACAAAGAATTCTCTAATTAGTCATAATGACATTTTTATAGTGCCTTTATTAGCCCTTGACTGTGTATCCACTTTGTAGGTGGTTCAATCACCCAGCTAACTCCATCACATGGACACATTCCCACTGTAGTAATAAGATTAACTTTTCCTGGACCACACCAGGAAAATCCTAATTTCCTGTTTGTTTTTGAGAAAAGGGTCACTTGTTGTTGAGATACCAGATCTTTTGATTTCTTAGAGAACCTTCTTCAAGAACCTGACCTAAAGCCGGGCGGTGGTGGCACACGCCTTTAATCCCAGCACTTGGGAGGCAGAGGCAGGTGGATTTCTGAGTTCGAGAGTTCGAGGCTAGCCTGGTCTACAGAGTGAGTTCCAGGACAGCCAGGGCTACACAGAGAAACCCTGTCTCGAAAAAAAACAAAACAAAACAAAACAAAACAAAACAAAACAAAACAAACAAACAAAAAGAACCTAAGGTTGAACTCCAGTTAACTAACAGGCCAGTATCTACCACCAGTTTCCAGGTTATCCCTTCCCCCAATAAGACCTGTGTCTAGCAATAATCTCCAGGTTACTCCCCAACAACACCCAGGGGTAAGACCAGTTTCCAGGTTATTCCCAAGAAATCTGCACCCCCCCTTCCTCCTCCCCCCACCCCCCAGGTAACAATACTGCCCTTGGTGCTTCACTTCCTAACAACCACCAATCAAGAAACAAACAAACAAAAAACAAACAACAACAACAACAACAAAAACCAGAAGTTAAGTTTATGGTTTGGCTCCCAGCACCAGACAACTATTTAAAGGGCCATAATGGCTCCCCAGTCAGATGTGTGAAAAGATAGATACTTCCTTCTTGTCTTTATAAGTACTTGCCTAAAACTAAGCTGCCCCCTCCTGTACTTTTGTGACAGAGACGGTGGTATGGCCTAAGCTCAAGCTTGAATAATTTGAGGTCAATTCGGTTGCATTGGAATTGGCTCTTTGGTTGTTTTTTGGGGGTTCATGATCCTTTCCTGGCACAACAAGGTCAATACAGATATTGAGCTAACTCATGACCATTCGGTTGGCTTTCATTTCGTAACCAAACACACACACACACAACCACAGACAAAATAACCAACATCTGAAACAAAATTTGTCTTAGTTGTAATTCCTTATGAAGCAATAAAACCTGATTCTGTTTTCTCCATTTTGAAAAAGAGTGAACAGTATTCACAACACAGTCTTACTTAATATTTCATGATACCCATACTATTTTCTGGATTTAGTCACTGCTTTAGTTGTTTACAAAGAAAATTTAAATTGATCTGCTGGTTTTTTATGGCTTAGTAAATCAAAAATAGTCTTAAGCCTTGCACATTCTCTCTAACTCCTTTCCCTCTGCCATGCATACACAGTCCCTTTCCATTCTTACTTTCAGGCAGGAATTGTCTAATTTGTCAGAGTGTTCTTGAAGGCAAGAATTATTCAGAATGCACATTGCTTTCTGCCTCCTGTAATCTCCTAGTGATCTAGGTTTTGGATGTTTTAGAGGAATATCCAAGTTCCTAAGGTTGTTCCGAGTGCTAAGTCATGGTCTTCAGTCCATTTCCTTGAAATTGTATTTTATTAACGTCATCAGTGTAAGCTCTAGATCGCTGCTCACCCAGCATCTCAGAAGACAGGGCAAGCTGGGATACAGTGTGAAGCAAGTGTGAGATGTGTGTGAGGGTTCTGGCGTCTGTGGCTAGTTCTGCAGACTGCCTGCCACCTTCTAGCAATTCACACAGTGTGAGAAGAAAGCCAAGCCTGAGGCCTTCCTGTTGTGGCCTCCCGTGATGGGTCTGCTTTAAACACAACCTCCGGAGGACACTTATAGTGGGTGGGTCCTACCTACTTGCCCTCTTCCCCAGATGATATCTTATCAGTTCCCTGTGTGTTGGACACCGCTCGAGCTCTGGTCAAAGGGCAGCGGCGACAGAGCGGTGGTCTCGGATGGCGGGAATGCGGAGCCGACTGTGGAGAGAAAGGCTTCTCATCCCCTGTCCCCTGATCTGGCGCTCAGCAGCAAGAGACACAGGACACAAGCCGAGCGGCTAACTAGAGTACAGAGAGTGCCAGGGTGGGCAGCCACACGGCTAGCTAGGGTCCCTCCCCCACCCCACGCGGGCAGGGGTGCGCAGGATTTTTGACTTACTCGGATCCAGAATTCACAAGAGATGTAGAGATTTGAGATGTGTTGATTTATTAACAGATGACGGGCTCGGGTGGTGAATGGTAAAGGGCTCTCCTGAAAAATGTCGGAAGGTGTTTTGCTTATATATTGGAAACGGAGAAGGGCGGGGCCAGAAAAATCTTGAGGCAGAGATTTGTTCTCTCCGCCTTGTCTCTGGGCTCTGGGGGCATGGCCAAATTACAGTACCACACCCTTAGATGTTCTGAATCCCTGGCTCTGTGATTGTTGCTGGGTTTGAGAAGTCTTCCTCCACTTAAAAATCTCTCCTATGTTGTCCTAGTGCCGTGGATCTCAACCTTCCTCTGATGGGGTCTGAAGATTTGATACAATTCTTCGTGTTGTGGTGACCCCCAAGGATAAAATTGTTTCCCATGCTACTCTGTTACTGTAACTTTGCCACTGTTGTTGAATCCTAAGGTGATTGTCTGATAGGCAGGATATCTGACAGGCAAACCTTGAGAAAGAGTTGCTCATGCCCCGAGAGGCTGAGACCTAAAGATTGAGAGCACCATACCAGAGCTCCTGTACCCAATATATCAAGTTGTGTCCGGTCAGCGTTTTTTTCATTGCATGGATTATCAACTCGCTATATGGTTCAGAGTGGTGCTTCCTCTATGAAGAGGCACCGTTTACAACACTAGAGCTGAATTTTCATCTTCCAGCTTCAGAACAGGCTTAAGAAGTACTTGGGGCCCATGGGATCAAAAGGCACACTGAGGCTGAAGGACTTTTGGCACACGGGAGCCCAGACAGCTCGGCAGTCACAGCTTCTGCAAGTCCCACCTCAGCCTTTTCCAATAGCCGTTGATGACCCACAGGTGCTGCTCATCAAGCTCTCTCCTTCACCCTCCCACCCAAAGCCTTCACACTCCTCTAGAAGCCGGGGTTTCTGCAGAGCCCACGACCTCACACCAAAGACAAGGTCGGTGGCAACTCCCTGGGAGAAAGACTTCTTGTTTAAGAACATGTGGCTGATGAGTTCCTTGTCCATCTATGAGACCAATGTTACCACACTGCTACTACGCTATGCCCAGAATATGCCACACTGATCTACCATCATGAGAAAGTAATAAAGAAGAAGACAATGATTGTGAAGGAAGAGAATTTATTTGGTCAAAGACGTGTCGACGTGTCAATCACATACAAAGAACAAGAACATCTCTACAATGTGAAGTTTACATTTTCCAGAAAAGAGATTAAGAAAAGGCAGTCTGCCCAGTCACTTGTTGGCTGAGCAAAAATTTCAAACATCAAGCACTCCAGGGTGGTGGCTTAGTCTCTACCCTACTTTGATTCTATGAGTCTCAGGAGAGTCTATGCAGAATTTTCCGAGTCTTCCAGCTTTCTTGTATTTCACCTGAACCAACACCCTGAGCAATTTCTTCATATCCAAACTATCATTCTTCAAGAGTCATCAAAGACAGGCAAGGGCACAGAGGAAAGGTGGACTCCACCTGAAAGGTGAGGCATTGTCCCTACCAGGGACATAGGTCTCACTCTCTTGTTCCAGGGGCCTCTGTTTAACAGTGTGTCCAGAGGAGCCAGGGTGAGTGAGCGAGGGAGCACTAGTGAACAAGCAGAAGCCTTTACCCATGCTTGCTTGTTCTTGTTCTTCCTCTTCTTAGATCTTTGTCTCCTTCCCTGACTACAGAGCTGCCCAGTGTTCATGGGGCCCTAGGCAGTAAGTAGCCTGTCAGCATTGTGCCACAGGTGACCCTTCTTGTCTTGAGCACTCCTGCCCAGTTTGCTGTGTATCTGGGCTGACATTTACATTGGCTGGCAGATCGAGTTCCTTATCCCTCTGTGTCTGCCCAGATTTCTGGTGGTTCTGTTCCTGAGTCACTTTCTCCTCCCCTAAAGAGGTTTCTTTGGTTGCTGTATTCTCCCTGTTTCCCTGGGGCTCTCCTACAGCTTCTGTGCAAGAGCTTTTCTTGTCCTGTCTTGGTGGGAGTTTCTTCAGCTGGTCTTCAGGGCCAAGAACTCCGTGTACTCTGTCCTCTGGCTTGTCAATACTGACCTGTTTGAGGTCAGTCTGCTGCATATAGCAGAGCACATAGGCAGACTCACTCAGGACAGAAGTCACATCACACCTCGTGACCTTAGAATCATCCATCTTATACCACTCCCCATCGCTGGCTTTGATGCAACAATAGTAATGTCCACTATTACAAGTTGCACCATCATGGACCAGGACAGCATAGAGGGCATAAAGTAAAGGTACTCCAGTAGGTTCAGACAAGTATGGCTGCAGGTCAAGGAACTCTGGGTAGCTTACTTCTCTATTCAACTTCTCACCCCTGAAATCTGAGAAGCGATTTAATACTAGCAGGAGAACCTTTGGGGCACTGTAAACCATCAGAGTCTTCAAAGCTGGCATTTTCTCTGTACACCTACCACAGTTGTAGGCGTTGTCCCCACACAGCTCTTCTGCCTTCACTATATCCCCCAAGGCTTGCTTCACACTCTGAGCCGAGCTGATATCCAAGGTAATGTCCAGGAAAGGATCATAGGAATCCGAGGTGCCCTGGCAGTGGAGACACTTGATCTGAGATCTCCACAGGCCTCCAAAGATGTCAGGAATCAGGGAGCTGTCCTTAGAGGGGGAGTCCCACTCTTCGTACCCCCGCAGGCAGGATTCATGCATGGTTTTCAAGGTGAACATGAGAAACTCATGGGCGTCTTCCTGCTTGTGCTTGTGGAAGGCAGAGGTCAGGATGTGGGAGGGCCTCATGACATCCCCCGAGTCGGAGTGGAGGAGGCTCTGGGTCACATGAGCTTCCATAGCACACATCTTACAGCCTTCAGGGGAACAACAGGTCTGAGAGTGCTCCCAGGACAGCATGTAGTCAGCAAGTGGTGGTGTGTGTGTCAAGCACTGCAGGGCTGCGTTCAGGTAGCAGCTGTTGCCTGTGTTCTCCAGCCCGCATCCAGGTCCTTGGGGCCTCTCCCAACTCTGACTGTGCTTGCCATTGGCAGCCTGCTCCTTCACCACCTGGGCTCCATCCTGATTCAGCTCTATGGCTGCAAGAGATAACACTGCTGGGTCTGCTACAGGACAAAAACACAAAAAGACTTTAGGGCCAACAGCTTTGTTGGAAGACATGTCAGCGGGCAAATTTTTAAACTTCAGACTCCATTTTAGAAAACCTGACCTACAAAAGTATCCCCTCTCCAGGAAGAAGACATTGGGATGGGTATGGCCCTTATGCCTTACTGGACAACGACAGGGGGACCTGAGCCATTACAAGGTCCCCTTCAGAGCTGAAAGGATTTGCGGCACCATGAGGAGAGCAACAATACCAACCAACCACAGCTCCCAGGGTCTAAACCACCAGCCTGGGAGCACTTAGGGGGGGATCCAGGGCTTCAGCTGAATATGTAAAAGTGGAGGGCCCTGCTGGGCATAGGTGGAAGAAGAGAACCTTGACCTCATGAAGGCTGGATGCCCCAGGGGGTGGGAATTTTGAGGGTGGGGAGGTGGGAGTGGGGGGGTAGATAGAGGTTACATCCACAGAGAAGAAGGAGGAGGGGCGAGGGGATTGGGGGTTCCGAGGGGGTGGTGGGGGATGGGGTAAGGGGACAACATAGGAAATGTAAATAAATCATCCAATAAAAAAAAAAAAAAGAAAATATACTCTGCCCTTCACCCTTTGAATTCCCCACTGTATCAAATATCAGCCACACAAGATACATCTTCTAGTGTCATCAAATATCAAAGAAAGCACATTCTAGGACATTAGGGGAACTGGAATGTTTGCTTGAAAACATTTTTAAAAGGAAATAATCCAGATTAATAAATGGTTTTTGCAATGGAAAAAAAAAAAAAAACAAGGTCCCCTTCAATTACTGGAGGTCAGGTCTCTATCCCCGCCTTTGCAAGATTAGAATTGCCACAGCCTTTCTATACTTAGAGAAGGGAGGAGATGTCAGGGGTAGCCCTGCTTACACACTGAAGGCCTAAAATCAGCCATAGGCCTAAAATCAGCAATAGGCCTGTCATACATGTATACTAACACCAAGTCTTGGGTCTCTGTGGAAAAACATTGCAACAGATGGCTATAAGCTATTGTAAACAGGCAGCTTTTGTGGAAATTTACTAGCCTGAGTAGTCATAGACCTTGTAAATAGGTAGCCTTGGCAGACAATACCAACTTAGATAAGGACAAGTGAGTCATAGGCAGAGTCACAGTGACCTGTCCCCTGAACCTTCACCCAGCCGATACCCGGTTCTGAAAGATATCTGTATTCCCCCTTAACACCCACACTCCAGTGTCATCCTCTTCCCTACATCCTGCCTTTCTGTGTTTATAACCCCTGTGTGAATGAATTATGATTTGCGAAAAAATAAATAAATAATTTTAAAAAAAAAGAAAAAAAAAGAAAATATCCTGAGTAAAGTAACCCAGTCATAAAAGAACACACACAGTATTTACTTACTGATAAGTGAATATTAGCCCAAAAGTTCAGAATACCCAAGATTCAATTCATGGACCATATGAAGCCCAAGAAGAAGAAAGACCAAAGTATGGATGCTGCAGGGCTTCTTAGAAAGTGGAACAAAATACTCAGAGGAGGAAATATGGAGACAAAGTGTGGAACAGAGGCTAAAGGAAAGGCCATCCAGAGACTGCCCCACTATACAGTCACCAAACCTGGATGCTGGGAAGTGCTTGTTGACAGGAGCCTGTTATAGCTGTCTCCTGAAAGGTTCTGCCAGAGCCTGACAAATACTGAGGCAGACGCTTACAACCAACTATTGGACTGAGCATGGTGTCCCTGATGGAAGAGTTGGAGAAGGAACTGAGGAACTGAGGGGGATTGCAGCCCCATGTGGGGAGCAACAGTGTCAACAGGCCAGATCCCCTGGATCTCGTGGGGACTGGACCACCCACCAAAGAATACACACTGAAGGACCCATGGCTCTGGCTGCATATGTGGCAGAGGATGGCCTTGCTGTATGTCAGTGGGAGGATAGGCCTTTGGGCCTGAGGCTGTCTGATGCCTCAGTGTAGGGGAATGCCAGGGCAGGAAGATGGTAGTGGGCAGGTGGGTGGGGGAGCACCCTCATAAAGGCAGGGGAGGTAGGATGGGATAGGGAGTTTTCAAAGGGGAGACCTGGAAGGGGGAAAACAATTGAAATGTAAATTTAAAAAAATGTCCAATAAAAAAATTACCAAAAAGAAGAAGAAGAAGAAGAAGGAGAAGGAGAAGGAGAAGGAGAAGGAGAAGGAGAAGAAGAAGAAGAAGAAGAAGAAGAAGAAGAAGAAGAAGAAGAAGAAGAAGAAGAAGAAGAAGAAAAAAGAAAGCCTGATCTAACTTTGAACTCAGGAAAACTAACAGGCTGGTACCTAGCATTACTTTCCAAGTTACCCCCTTTCCCCCTACCCACAAAACCTAAGTCTAGCTGCAGTCTTCTGGTTACAACCACAACAAGACCAGCATCTCCACGATATTACTTCAACAGATCTGTACCCTTTGGTTACAAGCCCACCTCCTGACTAAGAACCACCAATGCAGAGGTAAGCAGACATTAAGTGAATTATATGACTCTCAGCACCAGCCACTATGTTAAAGGCTATAGAAACTTTCCAATTATATGCTTCTAGACTCTCAGCACAATCCCCTCCTCCCCTCATCCCCCTCTTGTTGCTAAAGCCTTACCCTTGATAGATATTCAGGGTTTGTAATCACGAAAACCTTCATGTGTGACAGTGGCTAGCTGAGGTGCCCTATCTAGCTAGAATAAAAAAAGCCACACTGTGATTGCATCTGATCAGGTCCTTTCTGGTTTGGGGAGATCAGTACACTTTTTTGTCACTACACATGTAAGCTGTAAAGGCCTTATGGTGAGACTCACCTTCTGAGAAGGGCAGAGCAGCCCCCATGTCTTCAGAAGCCTGTCCCGTCACCCTAGATTCATCCTTATGCCACTCTAGGGCCATAGGAGATGACAAGGCTGGATTCCCTACTGGACAAGAACATAAAGAGACTTTAGGGCCAACATCATTGGTGGGGGACACATCAGATGTAAAGATCTTACAGTGAGACTCACCTTCAGTGAAGGAGGGAGCAACCATATCTCCAGAAGCCTCTTCAAATACCCTGCTGGAGTCTTCTAAGGGAGCAGAGACAGTCTTTCTCTTCAGAAAATGCCCGTAGTCAGGACTATTCCCAAATCCTCAGTTTTTTATAGTTTAGTCCTGTGGCCACGCCCACAAACCTTGGCTGAGCAGCCAATCCCAGATAAGCCTCTAATTCCCTCTCCCAGGTTGGGTGTGGTTCCTGCAAAGAAGCTCTGAAATCTGATCTCTTTGGAGTTCACTTCCCTGCATTCAGTTTGATTTTCCTAGGTATCTTAAGCTTGAGTTTTACTTGGAGCAAAATTACAAAACCATATCAATTGATGACTAGACTTTGTCAAACAAGTTTCCTTCACCTTGCTTACCACACAGTGCTATGCCCATATCTTGGGATCCCCAGGAGGGCTCAAAGAATTGCTTCATCTGTTGTAGTGAGGCAAAGAGTCTTTTAGAATATGTGAACCCTGTTCAGATTGCAATCTGTTCCTACTGTGCAGTGCACCATTTCGATCCCGTGTCTAGGGTTTAGGGCATTTATATGCAAGCAGATTCTGGGGTTTCAGGGTTACATGGCAAAGGAAATGATAAGGGAAGTCATTTTTCAAACATAATACCATCTGTTTAGGTGGCAGATGGGGTCGCGCAATTGGGTAGGGAAGCTCTTTTGGCGTTTATGGTGCTATCATGGTCTAAAAAATTTTTTTTCTTTGTTTTTTGATTTTGATTTTTCGAGGCAGAGTTTCTCTGTATAGCCCTGGCTGTCCTGGAACTCACTCTGTAGATCAGGCTGGCCTGAAACTCAGAAATCCGCCTGCCTCTAGCTCCCAAATGCTGGGATTAAAGGCGTGGGCTACCACTGCCTGACTGGGGTCTAATGTTTTTACAAACTTGTCACAGATGTCTGGGAACACTTGATTGCCTCCAAATAACGAACTTATCTCTCTAGGCATATGCATGTGGTTCCTTACTTTTCCCAAGGATAGGGGTACCTGCACTGGGGAGTGCTTAACTATCCATCAGAGAGAGTGCCAGCCTCAGTGACGTGGGGGCTGGGAGTTGTGGCTGTTTATCTGTTTTCTGGCTGGCGTTTGCCATTCCCTGGAGGGGAGTTTCATTAGGGAGTGCTATTGGAATGGGGATTGCTGAAGGTCAGACAGTGGGGACACAGCAAGGGGGTCAAGGACAACTTTGTGAGATTGAGAGAGTGCTGAGGCTGGGAGTGTTAAGGCTGGTTGCCCAGCTTCTCGAACAGAACCTGAGTAAACAACCTAGGCCTTGTTTAGTTTGGTTTTTGTTTTTCTTCCTGGTTGAAGTTGGATCTGCATGGAGATCATTTCTCTGTTATCAGATCCATTTCTAGTCAAGGCTATATGATCAATGATGTCATCTAGTCCACTAAGTAGACTGCTGATGCACTGCGGAAAAAAATGACCTTGAACCTACAGTATGTTTTTTTTAGTGTATACCAGTACTCAAGTATACAAAGCATTTTGGTGTGAGTATTCTACCTACAACTAACTCTAACATTACTTATAATCACGATGTTTATGGTGCTATCACCCCTAATTGTGCATCTATTGTGATGATTCAATTACCCAGTTAGATCCCTAGTGCTGATTGAATCTTACTGGAGTAATAAGATTAACTCTAGATGGACCATATCAGGCAAATCCTTATTTCCTGTTTGTTTTTGAGACAAGATGACTTGTGGTTCACACTGATGCTGAGCTTAATCTCAGTCTCTGATGGCTTTAACTCATGACTATTCTGTTGGCTTTCATTTCCTGAACCAAAAGAAAACAACAACAACAACAACACACACACACACAAAATAACCACACATCTGAAGCAAAATCTGTCTTAGTCACTGTTGTATCTCCTCATGATGTAGTGAAACCAGACACTGGTTTTTTTTTTCCATTTCTATTAACAGCGAACGACACTCACACTACAGTCTTATTATTTCATGTTGTATTCTTACTATTTTCTGGATCCAGTCGCTGCTTTGTTTTTTTATCCAGTAAGTTCAAATTGATTTTCTAGCTTTTTATGGTTCAGTGTGTCAGTGATGCAATCTTAGGCTTTGCACATTCCTGCTAAATCCTTTTCCTCTGCCATGCACCCACAGTTCCCTTCCATTCTTACTTTCAGTCAGAATTTGCTTAAGTTTTCTGTATGTTCTTCAAGGTAAGATATATATAGGACAAAAATTGCCTTTTGTCTACTTTAATAAACCCTGAATGATCTGGGTTTTTAATTTCAGTGGAATGTTCAAGTTAGTAGGATCCTTCCCTGTGCTAAGTCAAAATCATTAGTCTATTGTTTTGAAATAGTATTTGCTGGGACTTTCTCTTTGAATAATATAAGTGAAGTGTATAAATCTCCCTTTGAGCAGACCTGATAGCAGACCCTAAGTGCTTGAAGATGACTGGAAGAAGAAACAGAAACAGAGCAGTTAATCCTATAGTAATTTCCAAATTTACAGGAGAATTCCATAAAGTGTGTTTAACATACTTTATTATTGAATTTGAATAATAATGAGCCAATTCTCCTGAAGAACTCTTCAGTCTGAAGTGACTGGTGACACTGATCTGGGAATGTAAAGTATTCATATCAGTGCGAAGTTGTGAGTTGTTCCATACTTCACGCAGAAGTACCTGTATGTGTTTCCAGGACATTTCTGATCCATTGTAGGGCAGAGACGTGACAGGAATCCATTTATAATTGTCATGACATGAGGTAGTAAAGTGCCAGGGAAGTGTTAGTGATCCCCCCCAAAACAGACAGGAGCAGATCTGATGCAATTCTTAGCAGGGTCTTTATTTTATTCCAGTTATCTCAGACCCCTCCAATGCACCATGTCATGCAAGACAGTTTTTGGGGTGAGGGAGCTCAAATATCTGCCCAGGCAGGACTTTATAGTAAGCAGCAAGTGGAGTGTGAGTATGCAAGCATCTAATTGGAAAGCTACTGTGACCTTTAACATAATTGGTTGGTGCTGGGATTCATATCATAAACTTAATTTCTGCTTCCCTCTGCAGTGGTGGTTGTTAGTTAGGGGATGGGCTTGTAACCTAGGGGTGTAGGTTTGTTAGGGAAATAACCTGGAAATGCTGGTTTTGTTGAGGGTTAGCCTAGAAACTGGAGCTAGGCATGGGTTTTGTTGGGGGTTGGCAACTTGAAAACTAGTGTTTGGTATTTTCTTGTTAGTTTACCTGAGTTCAAAGTTAGGTTAGGTTCTCTAAAATGGAGTCTGAACTTAAAAGATTTGGGCTTTCAGTAGTTAAACATGTTTTAATATTTTGAATCTGAGTTCTTATATAAAGGATGGCTTCCTCTAAAGCATTCATTCTATCTGTCAAACATCTATCAATCCTATCCTGACTAATCAGTGCTAAAGAAATATTATTTTTTGGTCAAGGAATTTACACAATTGTACCTGTTGTACCTGTTGGACTAGGGAGGCAGCAGATGCTATAACCAACCCTAAGATAGCAAATAAGACTATAATGCCTAAGATGAGTTTGACTATAAATCTCTTAGGTCGTGAAGGGGAATTAACAGTCTGTGTGCACCAAGACAAACAAAGCAGAAGCACTACATCAAGGCTGTGAGAAAGTAATTGGTAACAAAATATAAGGTAGCTAGCATACAGTGAGAAAAAGCACTATGACTCCTGGTGAAGTTGTACAATTGGTCAAATAGCTTCTGGTATGAGATGATACATATAGATTTATATTTAACAATTTTATATCATCTATATCCCCTGGATATAGAATTAAAAGTCCAATCAGATGCAATCGGGAACCATGTCTTCAATATCTTCTTTTGCTGGGGTCTCTGATATGGGTGGAAAGTCTTCAGACGATGATGGCTGAACCAGACTTAAAGGAAGTGGCAAGTGTGGAAGTCTCTGTCCATGGAGAAGGCCTGGCACAATCAATTGGTCTGGAATCTATAGAGTCCTGTAAATACATAAACAGAACTTCTCCTGGAAAAACATTAAGTCTTTTTTATTGTTTAGTTAGCAGGTCTTTATTTTATTTTAGGCTAGAAATGTTTAAAAACAGACTTATTTATTCTTCTACAAAGTATTATAAGTAGGTGAATAATTATAATTTTATTTTGTAATTTAGATGTTTATATCTTTTAAGGTATGATGAGCTCATGTCATAATAGCATGTCCCTATGAACTATAAGGGATGTCAATGGAGTATGAGAAACTAAGAGTCAAACACTAATTTGAAAGACTGTTATGTTTAAACAAGGGCATTGTCTGATTTTTTAAGACCTTGGTATTATAAAATAATGAAACAAATACTGTATCATACCTTTGAAAGCTTTCCCAGGTTAAGCAAAGGCATAAACAACAATGAGACTGAAGTGTCCATATGTACAGGAATAAAGGCTAACTTTCCAAAAGACAGGACATATGTAACATATGTCTGTTTTAAACCACAAGGGTTAATTCCCAAGCTGAGTTGACAGCTTTGCAGGAATGCAGGAGAAGTTCTTCTGAATGCAAAGGTGATTTGATGATGATTTTCCTAAGTTACATTCCTAGAAAAAGCAACAATTTTTGTCAATGAATTAAAATTTTTCTTACCCTTATGCATAGGACCAGAAAGCATAGAATGAACTTGAACATGTCTAACAGAGAGAAGGCAATTTTTAAATTGAAACAAGACTTGTAATTCTGAAAGTTGGGGCTAAAATTGTGAAATAGCTATAAAACAGTGGCAAGGTTTTTTAAAGGGGGCTTGTCCTTATTATTTAAAAGACCATTGCTATTGTCATTAGCTGCATGTGTTATGCAAAGGTTTCTTATGTGAGGAAAACCCATTTAAGATCTTAATAGTTAAGGTAACTTGTTTGAGGAGGAGTCATGAGTAAATATTGTTGTGCTGCCTGGAGTTGCCTGCTGCAGCTGTTGGATAGTCCTTCTTTGACAAATGATTGGTGACCTGAGGCTGTTGAATTACCTCTATTGTTTTCCC